CACAAAGGGCCCATATTTGCACTCAAGTGGAACAAGAAGGGGAACTCTATTCTCAGTGCTGGCGTAGATAAGGTATTTTATAAAGCTACCCAAGCATGGATTTTTGTCTGTCAATAATAATATCCACATGTTTTTTTTTTCTTGTACCAGCCCTAGGGCTTGAAATTAACTTTTTTAGATCACTAGCCAGAGTGTAAATCAGAAACATATAATTTGTCTGGTATCCATAAACTACAATCTAAACTGCTCTTCTATTAGTAAATATAACAAACTTAAGATAATGAGACATAGAGAGAATTAGTAGTATTATTTGTTATTGTACATGTTTATTAATTATATATGAAATTGATAAACAGCAGTTGTTCTCATTTTGTGATTGAAAAATAAGAAATAAGTTAATAAGTTGACATAGCAAAGTTAATGACTTTTTCAACCTTCCTATTAGTTGGAAAATAATTTCAAGCCTTGGCACTATATCAATCTTTATTATGTTGATTTAAGAAATCTTTCAATGCTCCATTTCATTTCCAGACGACAATCATTTGGGATGCACACACAGGAGAAGCCAAGCAGCAGTTCCCTTTTCACTCAGGTAAATCCACTTCACTGTGTCCACCACAATCAAAACTGATAGAGATGTATTAATATGATGCAAAACAAATGTTTCCAGCTCAGTTGTGGCCTTTTAAACCTCTGATCCTTTTGAAAGAGTATAAACCTTTTCATTAAAATATTCTTCAGCCCCAGCTCTGGATGTCGACTGGCAGAACAACTCCACCTTTGCCTCCTGTAGCACAGACATGTGCATCCACGTCTGTCGACTTGGCAGCGACCGGCCACTCAAAACTTTCCAGGGCCACACGGTAAACAGCTTTTTCCACGCTCATTTTCTCACGTTATCTCACACCATACTGTGCTCACTCCCTCATGCTAATGTGTTTTATGCTATGCAGAATGAAGTTAATGCCATTAAGTGGGATCCGTCAGGGATGCTGCTCGCCTCCTGCTCAGATGACATGACGTTAAAGGTAAGAGACCAGTCCTCAGTCCTCGGAGGTTAAAACAAGCCTGAGTGGTGATTTGTATTCAGTCATCATATTTTGTTGTTGCTGTTTTCTTCCCACTCAGATCTGGAGTATGAAGCAAGAGTCCTGTGTTCACGACCTCCAGGCTCACAGTAAAGAGATCTACACCATCAAGTGGAGTCCCACAGGCCCTGGCACAAACAACCCCAACTCTAACATCATGCTTGCCAGGTGGGAAATCACTCACACATAGCTCACATTCAGCAGCGTACAGGTCAGGTACAGGACTGCGCACATTTGAGAGAAAAGTGCAGGTTTTGTGTGCTCAGACAAAAACAATATGCATGTCTGAATGTATGTTTGGGAAGCAGACTCTTGTCGTAGCTTGGCATTCAGAAGAAACCTTGTTTCAGGCAAAATCTCAATGCTAGTAAATGTCAGTAGCCCACATCCTCACACTCTGACCCAGATGTGCACACATGTCTAAATGTTCTAGTTCAAATACCACTGGAATTCACAGCCGTTACTGACAAACCAGCAAACCTGCCTTTAATTCACAAAGGAGATAAAACTGCCATTATTGTCACGGCCTGGATGGAACTTCATAATCTTGAATAAATGCCATCGTTGTTCAGTATGCGTGCAATAAATCTTTAATTGACTTAAGGTTTGCTCTCTGCATAAACTACCTCTGCACGTGTCAATCGAAATCAGCCTCTCTTCCATTTGTTTTCAGCAGTGTCTGATTACAGGTGTTGGTTTGACACAACTTGATATTTCCTTCTTTTTTTGTCAAAATTCACACATTTTTAATTGTCACTGTATTCAAGTGTTACTGTGTTATGTAGTTTTTCTCCTCAACAAAATGATGATTAACAAGTTTTCCAGGATATTTTATATTGGATGTTGAAATGGGAGCATTGTGACATTGGATTGCTAAAAAACACAAAATATGACGATAAATTCAAAAAATTAGATTTGATGTGTGATCATCTTGCAGACACTACAGACTTGTAGCTCTGGCACAAACAAAACATATTCTATCGATCATCTTGTTACAAAAACAGATGATTATGAATCCTCAGCTCTGCTCTCATGTCTTATTTTTTTCACTTTGTCTTTCCCACAGTGCCTCCTTCGACTCGACAGTGCGGCTGTGGGATGTCGAGCGAGGCGTTTGTATTCACACACTGACCAAGCACCAAGAGCCCGTCTACAGCGTGGCCTTCAGCCCAGACGGCAAACACCTGGCCAGCGGCTCCTTCGATAAGTGTGTCCACATTTGGAACACCACGGTGAGCGTCACAGAGGGATCTATATGCTTACGGGCTGAATAGACATAATATAATGTTATGACATATTTTGTTTGTTGCGTTGTTTCAGACTGGAGCCTTGGTGTACAGCTACAGGGGCACTGGTGGTATTTTTGAGGTTTGTTGGAACAGCACCGGGGACAAAGTTGGAGCCAGTGCATCAGACGGCTCGGTAAGCCACAGCCTGTGTGATAATGAAATCCTGATTTTTGTGTCTGTCCTACTTTTTAATTCATCTTATGTAGTAATAAAATGTTGAAGTACTTGGTGATGATAAACATATATCATTCACACAAATGTCTTTCCTTTCCAGGTATGTGTTCTCGATCTCCGAAAATAGCCGACTTAAAACTTTGATGAATCCTGGAATGTGCAGCAGATTGCCTTCTTCTGACATCAGCAAGGACACTCTCATTGCTCAAGAGGAGCCGATAAGGTTGACTGAAAACCACATGACTGCACCAGCTTCTGAGGAGCCAACACCAACTGAATTCTGGGCACCTTTATTGTCTGTTGCAGTGTGTTTTATGACACGCCTGTTTTGAGACAGCGGAAGTGGGTTAAAGAGATCCCCAAGACTGGTCTGAATCCAAATCCCTGGGGGCATCCGCATTTTTAAAAGGTTTCTAATAAGAAAGTGCTGTGATCCCTCCGGGCCACTGGTCCAGCTGTTATCGGATTGTAAGGGTTGGAAACGCAAAGATGAGTTTTACAGGAAGAGAGGTGTTAATGAGACACGTGCGAAAGGCAACATATTATGAAAGAAAGTTTGTGGTTTTTGAAATTCCTTTGTGCAAATGTTACTTCATGTCCAAATGACGTAACTGTAGACATGATAAAAGTAACATCTGTGCTGAAGCACTGGCATTGTCTTGTCGACAGGGTGCTGAACTTCTCCTCAGCGGAGAATAGTTTGTCTCAAGTACTTTTTTGGTCTATTTTTCCACAGAAGGACGTTTGAAAGTCAAAATTGAATGTGCCGCTACAAGGTAGTTCTCAGCTCACGTTTAACACCAACGTCAACAACAACAGGAAGAACCTGCCAAGGAATAATCTCCGAACATGACCTGCTCAATTCGGTCGAGATTAGAAAATTTGTGTTTAAGATGTGAAAAGTGTGGTTTACAAAGTAAAAATGTTCTCCCTTTTTGGATGTAAATTTAAAGAATGTAAAGATATGTAAATTAGATTAATACACAGACTTATATACTGTGTATATATGTTTATATACAGTACTCTTTATTGCCATCCTGTAGGGGGCGCATTAATGGCTAGAGTTGACACTTCTTTTACTGCTAATGCGCAGAAACAAGACCTCTTTTTAAATGAAGCGCATGTCTCATCATCAGCTTCTTTTAATACAGTCTTTCTCGACCAATCATCAGTCCAGTGCTTCAAGTTTTGTTTGGGGGGTTTTTTTCAGAGTGAAGGCAGGTGTGTTAAATAACCTTGGTCTCTGTTAAGCCACTGAAGAAACGTACTTTACCTGCAGGCAGTAAACTATCCGGTCAACAGGAGCGAACAGTGGTTTGAAGCATTGAGATGTTGTTTAATGTAGAGCTGGACACGAGAGAATCAACAACTAAACCCTACCTATGAGACCTTCTATCGCTTTTAGCATTATCATGGTGACCAGAGGGTGGAGATCAAGCCAAAATCCTGCTGTTTGTAAAAGAAGAAAGAAAATTGCTATGATTGGCCTTATTCAATCCCACTGAGCTTCACACATGTGCAGTAAGTCTGGCTCCCTCTGCACATGTCAAAGATGAATCTACAAACCAACACACCATCGCTCTGATTTCCCTTTTTGTTGGTCCCTTTTCTACCTTTAGTCTATTTCAGCCAAAACACTTTTTGTATTGGCAGGTTCAGCAAATGTCCAGACTTTGCTAAAAGTAAAGGGCCAATTTATTCCTTGTATTTTTTTTAAGTCACGATTGGATGTTTGATGGGTGGTTCGTTGTTTTTCGTTTGCTGAGAGCCATTATTGTCTGTGTCAGACTGAGAATCGGGCTGTGGGTTGGTGGCCTTTTCTTGGCATGCTAAGGAGCCCAGTTGGAATAAGTGCTGTGACAGCTACTGTTTCTCTCGACGCCCTGGTCCGGGGTGCACTCACCTGTTTTCGAGGACAAAACTTTGAAGTCATTCTGTGTCTCAAATAAATCACTCTATTTTGATATCAGAAACCACGGCGCCTGTGTCTTGATTTCAATTTGAACTTTGAAACTGAAATTGGTTGTATGCCTCAGTGCAGTTTCAGTCCCTCCAGGTGTTCCTGACACGTTTCATTCCTAATGATATGAGGTCACTGTGACCTTTGACCACAGTTTCATCATTTAGTCTTTGGGTCTAAGCATCAACTAATCAAAATTTTAGTTTTGTGAGGTCACAGTGACTTTTCATCTCCAAAACCAAATCAGTTAATCCGTGAGACCAAATGAACGTTAGTAGGAAATTTGAAGGGATCCCCTCGTGGTCTTGTCCAGGTATTGCAATCACAAGGCAAAAATGTGCTTTGAGAGGTCACAGTGACCTTGAGCTGACGGACAACCAGCACACAAAGCCTCTGACCACTGGCTGCAGCTGACACGAAAATCCCATGCAACCACTCAAGACATTAAGAAGGTGTCACCAACAACAGGTTTAGAAATATTCAGGGAATTTAATATAGTATAAAATAAATGTGTGCAAAAATACAAGATGGATAGTTGGAAAATACAGTAACTTGTTTAAATACGACACTAAATACATTCTGTTTTGCCCTAGAAGTGTAAAGACAAAGAGTGCATATCACAAATTGTGATTGTGTTCTCGGTGCTCCACCATAGCCATGATCTGAGGACCTCATTTAACCATCCAATCGTTAGTAGCGACAGGCAGTGTGTACAGAGGACAGGGACTTAATCAACGCAAGCACAGGTGCTCATGTAGGACATCCGTTCAGTTCACTGTTTGTTATTCTGTCTGAAATTTGGCAGCAAAACTAGACTGTGTCCACTTTCCTCTGCACCAGCTCTGTGCCGTTTGTAAACAAGAGGACGACTGTCCTATTTTGTTTGCCTACAACTTTTATCATTTTGCAGAGTTATCAAAAGAGGCATCGTTGAGTTGAATCAGTACACTTTTACCAGTGTATTTACACAAGTATCTACACTTTTACTTAAGTATAGGATGTGAGTACTTTTGCTATACCTCTGCACAAAACCCAGTGTGCGTCTAAATCGGAGAATCAATCAGGAGAAATATTCTTTTTAAAACACGCCTGTGTGGTAGCATTGAGAAAATGTCACGGTTGTTCTGTTCTACATGAGACTGTGCTGCGGCTTTGGGGCTGCACAGTCTACAAGTCTATGAAGTAACGCTACGACAGACTTATAAAAGCTTAGAGAGAAATAAAAAGCCTTGGAATTAAGATTTAGACTCATTCTGTCAAACCATCGTCTGGTGAGCAGTTGATATCTGGGAGAATCCGGAAGAGCACGGTATTGGCTAAGGGAGGAAGAACATCTAACACATGAATGTGAACTAGAAGAGCAGCATCACATCCACAAAAGCAGAGGGAGGTGTTGTTTGATGTGGACCCGAGCTAGTCCCTCACAGAGTTCTCCAAAGATTCTCCATCAGCGTCTATATCCTCATAGTCTCGTAGCTCGCTGGAAATGTGGATTTCAACTGTACTAGACTCTGAACCTAGCAAGACAAAATATAAGGGGGGTTACTGGGTGTAACCGCACATGACACCTTAACAAACAGCGTAACCAACTGTCCACAATTATGTGCATGTATTCACAAATGTATTTTGGGAGTTTTAAAATCATGTAAAACTTGAATGAGGACGTTTTTACTGCGTTTTATAATAGAGCTCGTAGATAAGCTTTTTTTTTTTTGGTGAAAAAAAGATCAAAGGCCTTAAAAAGGAGTGGAAAAAAACTTTATTGTCTATCAGAGACACTTGAGTGGTGACACAAAACACTGAATAGCCTTTTGTACATGAACTACATTATGCACAGACACAACTACAAAAAAGTAGAAAATTGTAAAAAAAAAAAAAAAAATCCCAAAATACATTTAATTAATACTAGACAGGCCTTTTTTCACAGCAGACATTTTGACTTGTCCCAGCAGGAAAAGTAGAGGTAGTTAAACATGTGACAGTAAAAGAACTCTGACGCTGAAGCCGGATTAATTTAGCCATGTTTACATCTGAACTTTTCCTGCTGTGACATTTGAAAACAGCTGTAGTGAAAACAGGGCCCATGTCATCACTAAGTTCTGCAACACAATGACAGAATAAATATTTTAAATTCAGAGTTCAACATACACACATGCAACTTCATTAGGTACAACTGTGCTAAAACGTATTCAGTCGACACACATATCAAGGGACTAATTATCTGGTTCATCTATATATTTTACAGCTTTGCCATTGGTTTCTGTGGAAAGCTCAGGCATAAGAATGAGGTCAGAATGTGGAGAATACATTTGAATGAAAGAGCATATGACTGCCTCTACGAATGGCTTGTAACAGATAAGTGAAATTGTTCCATAAAAGTGGCTCCAGTAACAAGGAAGATCTTTCTCTCGTAGCACATGAACACAGTGTGGTAACTGATATGAGTCTTTGAAGAGTTTGTGTCGAAAACATTCTGCTAAGAAGAAGAAATGCGCAAGTTTGGTGGCAGCATTCGTGGAAGATGAAATAGCAGGAAATGAAAAATATGAGGCTATTATAGTCAGACCTCAACATTTCAACTCAAAATCCAAAATATTCTTCTGATTTCTCTCAACATCATTTCAACTTTATTCACATCATTTCAACTTTATTATCAAAATACAAATGGTTAAAGAATCTTCCTCCTTTATTAACAACTCTCAGTGTGATTATTTGGTACAATAGCAGCATCTTGATCTACGCTCAGAATTTCTGTTCCATCAGTTACTTATTCACATCAAATGTTCAACAGTTCATACTGTTCATAACTTCACTATGCTTCACTATTGTACGCATAGACTGAATGTAAAGATTGACGACGTTTCTCTACCCCCTCCAACTACCATGAAATAAAGCCACAAACGTAGCCACCTTGGTCTGAAGACGTCATTTGGAGCCAAAGTCTGCACAGTAGCCATCTGGGGATAGAGCCAAGTGCTGTCGACCAAACGCAACTCAGTCTCAACTGTCAGTGGTCAAATATCGAATTAAAACCAAACTTACTGGGAAGGTTATCACTTGAACATACATCAGTGTGATTAACACATCATCGATTCTGTTTTTATATGATGTGTATTTCCATTGTTTTGTTTTAAGTCTAGGCCTCATCTGCTAACATGACCTACACTGCATCCAGCCACCAGGTGGCAATCGAGACGCGAGCAGCCCCGTCATTCATCTTTGTGCACAGTCTATGATTGCATCTATCAGAATTACAGTATATCATGGCTCGTCCAAACCTGCACCATTGAAACGGTTCAAATTCTATTTAATCACAACAATAAAAAACTTCCCTGCTAATGAAAAAACAACGTGTTCCTCAGTGGATGATCTCACTCATCCCAAAGACACTTCATCTTAAGAAGAGCCAGTCCAGCAGCAGGAGACACCGCGCATCAAGAACTGTTGAGCAGTGCGGCAGCTTCACCAGCCCTGATACACAGGTGAGCTGTCACTGCCACCTAGAGGCCAATTACCTTCTGAGAGGACACTGATGGCGTCGGACTGGTGCTGCCCATTGCCTGCCATGCTCTTCTTGGCCTCCTGGATGTGGCTCTGGTAGAGAAGGGTAGTTCCCACCATGGGGTTGTGGCTGGGGGTGTTGGGCACCGAAGTGGAGAGCGAGTCCCAGGCCAGCTCCCTCCTCCGCTGCAGACTGAAGTCGATGTCGAAGCCTGTCCAGCCGTGGAAGGCCAGGGTGTTGATGAAGGCCTGCATGGGGTTCAGGATTCCCTGGAGGAGTGAAAACAATCAATTCAAGTGTTGGATATTGATCAAATTTAAATTCTTTATTCTGTACGTTGATGTTTTTCTAACCCACCATAATGAACCATGTGATGAGGGCTGCGTTTCGAACATTCCTGAGACTGTTGTCGTTGATGTCCGTCTGCATCTCCAGGTAGAAGAGGAGGCTCTCGTTGATGATGTTGGGAACCCAGCTGAAACGTCACGGAAACAATGTTTCATCAGCTTTAAACAAGCTTTAAAATGCACTGAATGTTCTGGAAGTGTCTGACCCCAACAATCTCCTGCTGCCTTCTTCATATGTGAAAGACAAACCCAAAAGGGCTGAATCCAAGTTCAAGTCTGACAAAGGCTTTCGTCAAACTGCCCTTGTACTGCATTAGCAAAATCAAATGTCATTGCTTTGTGCTTCCCAATAATAAGTCACTCTGTTTCTTTACATCCATACACACGATAACAGACGCTCACATACCATATAAAGAACACCAGCATCATCTTGAAGAAGCGTATTTTTATCTCATTGGCCAGCCGCCTCTCGTTTTCTGTGTAGATTCCCTGTCGTCCTTTCAGTAAAGATGTCACTGGATTGGGGGAAAAAGAGAAACCAAAATGTGGTTATGTTATTTCTACTTTCGTCTTTTAAAATGATTGTCGAGGGGGAGGAGCCAACCTGCAGATATGGTCCTGTTGAAGAAGATGGGGTTGGCTGCGAGGACGAGCAGCATGGGTGCGTACGTGGTGACGTAATGAGGGATGGCATGCTGCAGGCCTTGCTCGCAACTGCAGAAAAAGGAAAAGGAAATCTTTTAGGTAAAAACTGACATTGTTAATGAGCAGTGGAACATTTTGGATAAACAGCAAGTATCATGTTAACTGGGTCAAAAGTCACTGACCTGAATTTCAAAACTTCAAGGAACTAAAAACTGAAAAGATTTTAGACACGCTGCTTTTATCGCTTGTTTCGGAAGAACAAAGAGACTCACTCAGAGATGGATGGGTAGTAGAGCATGGCCACTCCTTCGACACACAGCAGCACAGCCAGACCCCATGTAATCATGTGGTAGAGGATAATGGTGCTGATGGGGAAAGAAACAAGTCATGAGACTGAGCTCACAACACATGCTGCAGCTCTGTATCTTGAGGGCGACGTTTCATGCAGAAAACAATTGTACTTCACCGACTGCGATAAAAGAAATCTGACTTTTAAAAGAACCTCTAAGACCAACTTAATAACCAGTTCCAGGCTGTTACATTTAGAGTGGACTTTTTACACACTTCAGGTCAGCTCAGTAAAAAACTTTGTGCATCAGGTGATAGTGAATTTTGGTCATGGAAGATGAGGCTGTGAGCACCTGATTCCTGCCGATGTTTTCACCACCAGGAAAACGTCAACAGCGTAGCAGAAGGTCCACCAAAAAGAGGCGCTGAAAAACAACTGGATCCACATCTGTAACACATCAATCAGATACATTGTGATACGATTAAATGCAGCTTGTTTTACAGATCCGTTCCTCTCAAAAGACACAATGACGCACATTTTACACTTTGAGGTTGAACACATTTATGTGTGAAATCGGGATTCTCCAGGATCCCACATGATGTGCTTAAAGCTTCCCTGTGTAGAATTTTGTGAAATCTAGTGGTGGAGTGCCATGTTGCAGCTGAACACCCCTCACCTCACCCTCCCCTTCCAAACATGAGAGAGAACCTGTGGCAGCCTTCAGTTGTCATAAAAACTCAAAATGTGTTTGTCCAGTCTGGACTAATGTAAAAAACATGGTGGCTTCTGTAGAAAGGACCCGCTCCTGTTGTAAAGTATTTCAATATAAAGGATCCATTCTAGAGTAAAGACAACCACAATTTGTACAATTGGTGAAAACAACGCTAAGATTGTTTCATATTAAATCTCTGCCAATAGATCTCATTCATCTAAATCTTACACACGGGACCTTTAATGATTTGATTTCAAAAGTGCTCAGCTCACGTAATGACTGGACAACTGAGGTTTTGAAACAAAGGTTTGTCCTCATACGTACTGCGCTGCCCACGCAGAAGACTTCAGGCCAGACGTCAGTGTTGTTGACCACTGAGATCTGGTCCATGATGTTGGGAAGGCCCAGCCACAGCGACGACCTCAGGATGATACCTGCAAGAGGAAAACAGCACACGCTCTCAGAATTGGACAGTTCCTGCTTTGGCAGCAAGTGGAAGAGGAGTAAAGCAGGAGATGTGAAACTGTTCTGGATTTAATTCACATTTAAACACTTCAAAGTTCCTTCATCCCCTCTAGTCTTTATTTCTATGAGCATTAATTAACGAGAGTCCTCTTAATTGCAGCTTTACATCATGGAACTGTCTCCATGTGCGTTTTACAAGGGTGTTTCCATTTCCTACATGAAACTGTTTGTTGCCGATGAGCCATGGAAAACACAGCTCTCCCAGAGTCTTTATGTGATGCACGCTGTGTATTTGACTTTTGTTAAAACTGTGCCATGGGTGTTGGTTTGCAATGGAGGAGGAAACTCAGCAGACACATGTGATCACAAGACTTCATCTGCCTGAGTGTGAGTGATGGATGAACAAGTTGAAATGTGACACTGACGATGAATGAATGTGGTGCAGGGACCTGAGGATGAATTCCGCAGCCTTTTGTGGATCAATAACTGCAGCATCTGCTTGTTTTTCCAGAATGATTCATTCAAATCAACTGAAGGTCATCACACTGCTCACATGAGGAGTGGGATCACTCTTTTATTATATAAAGAGGAAAAAGCAGCCAAACACTCGAAATATATCTTATTTTGTCAAAAAAAGGTATTAATTTGGGAGATGGGGTTTACATTTATGGTGTGTAACCAAGTTTCCAATTGAAATAAGGGGAATGAGAGCATGTTTTATTGATGTGTAATTGATTTTAAAACTGTATAAAACATCTCTAAATTGCATTTCCAGCAGATAAATCACATTTTCATGACACATTATGTTTAAAGTTTCTTCCCTGTATGAATACACCAGGTCAGACTCGCAAATGCAGAGTAAGAAAAGGGTTAAAAACTAAATATTTGCGTGCGTAATTGGGCACAGCCACATGCGCTCTTAAGACCCACTTTATCTCTTCTCTTTTTTTAGGCCCATCGGCTACAGCAGAGGTTTTCACGCTTTACCTGTGCATCCCAGGATGTCACACACACTGATGATGAACAATATCCGCGAGGAGGACGCGGGCCTTGGCAGAGGATACTGTCCCAGTCTTCTGTAGCCTTTGCGCTTTGGCAGAATTTGGAGCACGGCGAACAGGAGGCTGAAAGCGGCGCTGCCCAGACTCAGAGCCCCGAACAGCACCGGCTGGAAGGTGACCACAAAATCCGTCGCAGCGTCCCGGTTCGGGCAGCAGAAGGTCTCCAGCCGGGGGGAAGCCATCACAGACCGGAGGTAGAGAAAGAGCGGAGAGAAGTGGGCTATGGTGTCAGCAGGGGAAAGGAGAATAGAAAAGAAAGGAAATGGCTGAGTCCATGACCCTGCTCCCTCAGAAATCACGGGGCTGAATCATCATGTGCTTCCATTTAATCCCTGCAGTTATAGCTTAACTGAGCCACAATACCAGAGGCCGACAAAGGACCGAGTGTGGTGGAGAACAGAAAGATTTGAGTTACAAGTGAGTCCAGCAAGGAACTCACAACTTTATACAAATGACTCCATGAGTGTGTCAGTCTTCCACTGCACTTCTCCTGTGCAAAAATACAATTCAATACAATACAAGTACAACAGGAGAATTTAATTTCATGGACACTAGGATTCAAAGGCCCTTCACCCCTGAAGGGAAAATAGCTTGTGTGCAAAAAACACTGCACAAACCATTAGATGTCCTCCACTCACACCGACACAAAGAAGCAACACATCAACACATTATAACAACATCAACATCTGTATATGGCTATTATTCATTAAAGAATCCAGCTGTATATCACTATGGCAACACAACAAAGGATTTCCTTCCTTCCTTCTTTTGATGCACCAGAAAACACGTCACACCACGACACAAAAACATAGCATTGAAATGCAAAATAGAAAAGACACAAAAAAGAAAAGAGAAACATAGAGCAAATCAAACAAAAAAAAAAGTTGTAGGTCAAA